AAAATTTGGTATAAATTTTTAAATGGTGACCATGAAAGGAAGTTTAGAAATGTTGTTATGTATGAAAGCCTATAGTATTGAAATTGGATTGATCATGAATATAGATAAATAATTGATAATGATATAATGTATACATATATATATTGGTTCGACAAGAGGAAATTTGGTATAAATTTTAAATGGTGACCATGAAAGGAAGTTTTGAAACTTAGTTATGTATGAAAGCCTATAATATTGAAATTGGATATAAATTGCAAACAGTGATTAAGAAAGGAGGTTTAGAAACTTTGTTATCAAACATAATTAATTTTTATTTAGAACGTTTCACAAAGATAGAATGTTGTTGGATGATATTGAAAATAGACAATGGAATGCCATTATGTGGTTTTGCTTTGAATTTTGCAATATTTGTTATAAAGGGATGTTAAAACAACTATAGTCATATGAAGGATGAGGTATGATAGTAACATATATATAAATATATTTGAGGTCAAATATATAATTTGATATGGATTTTAGGTGATGACTGTGGAAGTGATGTATGAAAGTTTTTTGTAACCAATTGACACTTTTTATAATTTGTAATGGAGTATGTTTTTATGTTGTTTGTTGTGTCTTGTTTGTGTTTATTCAAAAATAAAAAAAATATTTAAAAAAACCTATTTTAGATGTGTCCAGAAATAACTATAGAATTTTACTATTGAGTCTTTTTTTAAAAAAAAAATACAAAGCATATTAGTCCTATTGCAATTGGCTAAGAAATGGTGCAACTTGTAGAGGTGTTCGGAGGTGGCCTTAATGGAAAATATGTGGTTATTGTTGGTAAAATACCAGCCTAGCTCAGAAAAATATGAGAAAGTGCTCTGGATAACCCTGCCTTGACTCTTTGGTATAGGTGGGAGGGAAGGAGAAAGGCGGTCAGAATTCTGTTGTTTTAGTCTATATCAGTAAAGTTCAATTCTTAGGTTATCTACTTCCTGACCTGTCTACTGTGAAAGGCTTCTAAGTTTTATTCTGTGATGGCTTCTTAGTACATGTTAAATAATTGATATTTGAGGCTGCTTTAACATTTGTTTGTGCTGGAAACACTTATGTAATGTTGCATTTGGGCAGGTTGGTCCTCCCTGAAGTCAAACTTCTTTAGTTTAAAAGCTTAGATGTAAATAAATTATGGCACCTAAAATCAAAATGCTTTAAAGAATTGCAAGAGTTAAAGTGACTCTAAGAATGTGTCAGAGGATACAGAGTATGGCTAATACCACAGTTTGGTTTTTGAAGATATTTAGTGAGTTGGAATGCCAGACAACTTTCCAGCTAATAGTTGGCAGTGTTCTTACAACATGATACTTGGAATGTATTGGAAGACCTGCTAAGCCTTTGCCAGCCTGCTTACTGGGGAAAAGCATGGCACCATAACTTGAGCAATAGTTCTTGCCTAGAGGACATTTCCTGGAATGCTGTTGAGCCCATAGTATCAGAGCTTGGATAGCCTCAGTCTTATGGTCATTATTTTGGCTGTTTCTCCATCATTCTTTCAGAAACTGGAGCCTACTAACAATGGGAGCAGATAAGAATTTCAAGGAAGGTGAAGGTTGTAGAAGATCTGCATTTATGGCTCCTGGCTTAGGGTTGGATTTAAACTATGAGTTCTTCAGCCAGAGTTTGCTGCAGAAACTTTTTGTAACCATCTATTAGGATGTTTTCCTGACTACCTACTCTTTTAAGTATTGGCTGGAAGGAGCCACACTCTGGGAAGGTAGATTCAGCAAATTCAATACATTAGATCAATCCTTCCAGCATTCACTTTTAAAACCAGGAATCAGGACTAGATTCTTGAAGTCTATTGGTTTTGGCTATTGCAATTAAATTATAGGTCTGTCTATAAAAGACACTTTCATCCACAATCTTATGGATGAGTGGGCAGACTTATATCACTGAAACCTGGGTGGAGAAGTAAGGGATGTTCCTGCCTTGGAAATCTCTTGGGTTTCAGTTTCAATATTTGACTTGGACTCTGGGTATGGGTAGGTCTTGAATTACGACCAAAATTGAATCCAGAATTTTAGTTGCAAGTCATTGCAGTTGTAAAGTCATTAAGTGTCTGATCGTAAGGCAAGGGCTACCTGTAGTAGTAGAAGAAGGTAGCTGTTCTCATCCATGAGACTCTGCTGGCATCAAGAGTCACTATTGTGTACATAACTAGATGTGAGACCTTGTTTGTGCAGTTGGGCCCAAGGAGCCAGATGGGTTTGTTGCACTTGTTCCACAGTAGCATCTGTTCCAGGAATATTCAACTTGGTTGCTAAGGTGGTGATAGAGTTCCTCTAGCTAGAAATTTTGGCCTTACCTTCTGGATGGTATGGAGCAGCCCACAGGTTCATAGTTGCCAATATGCATGACAGCATCTAATTGTTGTTTTGAAGTAGAGGCAACATCTAAAGAGAGACATTGAACTCCACCCCTTGCCAAGAACTGATCACACTCTGATTTCAGTAGAATTTAAGGTGCAACTCCCCCCCTCAATAGGGAAGGAGCTGTTAAAAGAGTGCATGGAGAACAAGCAATGGAAAGGACACCTAGAGTGTTACTTGAAAATCGGTCTTAAATTTGACAAGATACTAATATAAGCTTATATTAGAACCTACACAATGGTGATTGAAGTGGCAAATAGAAGGGTTTTTTTTTGCTACCCCTATTGCCTATACTGAATGATGTCCAGTGGCCCTTTTTAAAACAATACATTCTCCTTTTAGGGAAGGAAGTTTGCCAAGAGTTTTTGAAGGGCCACTGTGAAGAATTTTCACATATTGGCAGACAAAACCACTGAAACCCAAGAGGAGCTGGAGTCCTGCTAGACAGTGCCATTAGAGATGGTTGGCACCTTGTCTTGTGAAACTCTTGCAGTGAGTTGACCATAGCAAGTTGTCCCTCGGCAGGTTGGCTGCAGTGAGTTGGCCATAACAAACTGGCTGTGGCACGTTGGTCACAGTGAGTTTTCCTAGACCCCATCTACCAACACTGGGTTTGGTATCATCAGTATGGTGATGATGCCCAACTATGTATCTCATTTCTGAACCAAACAGCTTATGTAGTGGAAACAGTGACTGAGCTGTCTTGGTCTGGATGGGGAAGAAGAGACTGCAACTGAATCTCTGCAAGATGGAATGATTTTAGACCTACCAATTTCAAGAAAGCTCCATCGTTAACTCTGAACAGAGTTGTATACCTCTACTCAGATGTACACAATTTGAAGGTTCTCGTAGATTTGCAGTGCCTGTTTAAACAGGTGACAGTTGATGGCCAGGGGGACTTTAGTTCTGCTACATCTTATATATCAGACAAGAAATTCCTGCTTGCAATCACTTATGGTCTACCTGTTTTTACTACTGTAACTCATTCTGTATAAGGCTATTCTTGAAACGTATTTGGAAGTTGTGTAAGTGTTACAGAATTTGGTGGCATGGCAGTAATGGGTATGGTCCGATATTCTTGTGGTCTCCACTGCTTTGGGAATTGCACTGGTTGCCATTTGGCTTCTGGATGTAGTTCAGGGTGCTGGAGATCACCTTTAAAACTATGCATGGCTCTGGACCTGACTAATTCTGGAAGCACTTTCTCTTATATTCATTTGCCCATTCAACAAGATCAAATAAAGTCACTCTAAATCCCATTCCATCAATTGATAAAATCTTTAGAAACAGGCATTTTTAGTAGTCTGTGCCCCCACCAGTAGAGATCTGATAAGGTTAATCCCTCTTGAGCTTCTGGAGAATGTTCCTGTGATGGTGTGCTATAGTTGGGATTGCAAGTGTGTGGCATTTGTATTTGTCAATTTTTAATCTTTAAATTTTATGTTTTCATTTGACGCTTTTTTATGTGGGGTACTTGAAATTTTGAATTATTGTTCTTTGTTTATTGTGCTTTTTTTGCGGGGGGGGGAATGGTTGGCATACAAGCAAGTAAAATGTGGATGCAAGACTTTCAGTTTGGGGTATATGCTGTGGAAAGGCTTTAGCACATATTGTTATCCCTAATTAAAGCAGTATAAAGGTTGTACATAAATTCAACAGGGTACCTGTTCTGTTTCTCTAAGGTTGTGATTGGCAAAAATATCTATCAAATTTTACAATGTACTTGAGAGAAGGAGCAGAACTGTATAATACCAAAATACCTTTTAGAACTTAGAAGCAGTTCTAAAACCTGGGCTCCTGTCAATTATCTGTGAACAACTTTGGCAGTCTTACTCATACTTTTGTCTTTTTCTCGTCTATTTTTTCATATTAAAAACATGTTGACAGATGCCAACAGAAAGTCAGAGCCAACTTCTCCAACAGCAGCCTTTATTAAGAGAAGCTGTCAATGCATTGATTGGTGATCAGAAGCTTCAAGAGATCTTTAGCAGAGGTAAGATCAACAATAACTTTTTTAAAATGTGTTTGATTTTGATGGCAATTAGATTATACTGATAAGTGCTACTTAAAGCCTCATTTTGTTTGAAATGTTTCTTATGATTCAGGCTTCTTAAGCTAAAACCCCACAATTAATCAAGTATTGTTCTGCATCACCTGAAGCCGCTTTCTGCTATTCAAGAAATAGGTTTCAATATTCACAGCCTTAGAAGTAAAGGCCTGATAGCTGCAGGGCATTAGATAAGGGTGCTCCTGGACAGTATAGCCATTATATCAATATGTAGGGCTTAGCTTCTTTTAGTCTTGGGCCTTTACTTCCCTTTTATGTTATATATGTATATTCCTAGTTTTTAGTTTCAAATCTCTGTGTTGAAGTATTCATTGTGTCCAGAAGCTATTATTATTGAGCACTTGCATCCAATCTTTCAAGCTTCAGGAACATGTGTTTTTCAGAGTAATATAATTATCTTTTTTTCAGAGCTTCCTTTGAAAAATATTGGAAAGTTTCAGCTTGTTCAAAATATTAGAATTGAGATTGTTGATTAGGGCATAGTTCAAAATACTGGTCATGATCTTTAGAAGTCCTAAATATCTTGGGATTAAGTTATCTGAAGGATCAGGCTTTCCATTATAAACCTGTTCTTCTTTTGGCCAGGCAGTATTGAAGAATATTTGAAATGTATAGAAAAGAAGGCCTTTTCTCAGGCAGTCATATTATCTTCCTCAAAGTCTGCTCTCCTTTCTAGACTTATTGGCATGGTAGACCAGTTGTATTGAATTATTTTTTGATGCCAGAACACATGGTTTTAGTTTTTTACTTATAAGTTTGTATTTTTTTTCTCGCTCATTTTATGCTTTGAATAGAGGTAGATGGTTGGTTTTGTTGCTGTCCCCATGGCTGAAAATTGGGATATATAGTGAATCAAAGATGAGTCTGGTATTGCTATAAATACTTGAGCTAAGAGTGAGTAATTATGTGAAAAAATAATATCGGTTGTAGTTGAAAGTTCTGGAGAAGAACAAGCTGCATGACCTTGTATTGAATAAAGGCAGTTTGTCCAAGGGTGTCCTCCAATTCCATTGCATGTTTTCACTAATTATTGCTATTTTTATCATATAAAAGATGACTGAAAAAAGTAAAACAAAAATAGAAGTTACTGTCAGCAAGTTAAAATATTTAAAATACATTTTAGAAATTGATTCATTATCCTATACATTTGTGGTAACTATTTCTCTCAATAATACCTCTTAAAACATTTTTACTTTATATTCTACAAATACATTAAAAATGTGTATATTTTGTAAGCACTTTTGCTTAGGGTAGTTTTTTTTTCTGTTAAATCTTTTGGGGGTGGGGAATATATTTCTGTCTTACATGATCATGTGGAACTCTTTTCCAGGACTTTACAGTATACAGGGTCAAAGAGTTAAGGTGTATCAGCCTGAAGAGGAAATCAGCTGGATCTCTGCGGTTGTGAGTTGTCAAGATCCTCTCACACGTCTGATGGAAGTGGTTTTGACTGAGGTACGAAGCTTTTATGGGGTTTTGAGGTCCAATTTCTTCATTTCAATTTACTGAACAGGATGTTACAGATGATCTCACTGCTTTGCTTGTATGGCAAAGTTGATACTTTCCCTAGTAGTCTTTTGATGACTAGTTACACTTATTTACAAAAGCATTTGTGCTAAGAGCATGGTAAATTTGTAAATTATGCTTACTGTAATTCTATTATGTTTGTATGCATATATTTAATTCACATTTATTCGTAACTGTAACTTGTTTTTTGGTCCTTGAAATGATAATTTTGTACTGTTCTGCATTGTGAATCTTCAAGTTTTGCAGTTTTGAATACACTTTATTGGAATCATAATAAAACTTATTTTTTTAATGGATGCATTGCATGTTTGCATACAACAAATGCTCCTAATCATGGCTTCCCCTTAGGGTCTCTATTCTTCTTTGGTCTCTCTAAAGTGTTCATTTTATTGTAATTATTTCTTGATTATTTTATTTAAGATTTAGGTGGTACTTTCTTCTGTTATGATATTGAAGGTCCTGTTCTCTAAGCACCAACGTTGCTGGAGAAACTTCCTCCTCTTGGATGCACATAAATTGTTCTTATTATGCCTAGGCAAAGAACATACCCTTGAGTCTTGTGTGGTCATGGTTTAAGAAACCAGCATGACAGGGCAAGTGGCTTCCTGGGAAAAACGCTGAAAGCAGATCATTCCACAACCTCTGGTGCTTCTGCTTTTTCAGTGTTTATATGATGGCCCAAGTTCTCACAAGCCACAGACATGAAAACTAAGGTATGTACTTGCAGATAAACCAAAAATTTAAAATGCCAAATGCATCCAAAAACTTGGCCTTGGTTTATCTGCAAGTATAATAATACTTTTTAAAGGTACCCATATTTCTGGTATATATTCACGGATATAGCGACCCTCAAATTTGAAACCAAAACATGGATCATCCATGGGTGGCACATCTTTTTCTGGTATGTTTATAAAATTTTGAAAGTCAAGTTTATCTGCAAGTGAACTTCCACATGCATGTATAAGTAGACGCTTGAGATCAGTCATGTCCAATTTTCCAGTTTCTCGATAATCTAATACAGGTTGTATTAGAATGTGCTATCACACAATCAATAAATGTTGGTATCTTTTGAAGATGGGGGTACAAAAAAAATGCCACAATATTGTGAGATTGTTAAGATTACAGTTATTTCATCCATGCAAGAACAGGTTGCAGATATTATTTTGGGATTCCATAGATAGTGTTTTGGCACATTGTACTGCACATGTTGCCAACTCTTTCAATTAAAATTCAGAATATTATTAAAATGTATTCTCTTCTGCCTGTGGATTTTTATATCAACTATTTTAAAAATCTTTAGCAGCTTTTTCTGCTGCTAAGAATGTGTAATAAAAAGTGGTTATGGAAGAAGAATGTGCCTACCCAAAGTCTAACATTAGTATCCTTATTCTGTCAAATATTTGGTTTATTTGCTGATATGTTTTTATTCAGATTGTTTGATTCATGCAATTGGAATAACAGCAGCTTGCTCTGTATAAAAGAGGGAGATAGAATGTATCTGCTTCTAGTTTTAAACCATGTTGAGTTTAAATGTGATATGAGCATAAATTTTTATTTCATTTAAACTCTAACTAGAAGTAATAAGACCAGAAGTTTAAAATGAACCAGAGTGCTCTGTACTTTAAGGAAATCATGGCTTGTTTTTTAAAAAGGAATAAATATTTCTAGTTTTTTTATTTTAGTGAACCCAAAGTTTGATGAAATGCATACATCTAATACTAATAAGTGATTTAGTACTTTGTTCAAATTGAATTTAGATCTCACTCTCTGTAGAACTGCAGATAGTACTGGAGGGAATATAAGGAATATCTCATTCTTTTATTTAGGAAACTGATTCCTCCGGACTTATCTTTGTATTATCTAGTATAATTGAAAATTACAGCCACCTTGAACACCTTTTGTTTATATAAACAGAAAAGCATTAATACATTATAATATCTAATATTAGATTTATATAATTAATATGTAATTAGAATAATTTTCAAATAAGTGAAATCAGCTATAGCACATTATATAATATGCCACATTTAAAATAATGATTATGATAAAGATACAAGATGTCAGTCAGAACAGAAGTTGACATAGCTTGGGGACATACTTTCCAGACACTAATTGCTGCTTTGTGAACAGTGTATTTTTTCTCTAATACTGGATTTCCTTTTCCTTTTTTGTTTCTGGATTCATTGCATAAAAAACAGACTGGTGAAATCAAGTCAGTAGATCCTCGACTGATTCATGTAGTGATGGACGCATCTATTCAGAATGAGGTATCATGTTTTAGTAGATCATGATATAAACAGATATGGGCTAAATAAAGGTGTGTAGCTAGAACTCCATTGTCCCTCCAAACCTCTAGGTGGGTCTAGTCGTGCTACACACAGGTGTGCATACTGTTCTGCACATGTTAGGAGGTTCTAATCTTCCACCTCTAATTTAGGGAAGATTAGTGTAGAGAGATGAGACTAGTCAGTCTCTGTTATTCAGTGATTATATTAAGATTGTTGTCAATTCTAGTGAAGATGATGAAACAGACTACGTTGAAGGGGACTGATAAGCATCTACAACAGAGTACTTGAGACTTTTAAGGACTGCATGTGATTTGTGAGCTTCATATAGAAACTCAGAAGATCTGGCTTATATGTTATAATTTATTTGAACTTGGTTTTGCATGTTATACGAATCCAATCGTGATATGTAAACCAGGATTTATTCAGAGGGGCAGTGCATGATTCCAATCAGTTCTGGTTCCTTTAATAAACTATTTTAAATAAAGTTTGACTGGTTCTGATAGATGAATTAATCAAAGTAGTTATCTTATTGTGATAGAGCCTTCATAATTATTTGTTTTGCTTATGTAAATTTGACTTGCTAATTATAACCAGATCCTATTCACACTTAAGCCGTATGGAATTCAGTCAAACATAGCCTAAATTGGCAGGCATGGAATTATGTGCAAGTTAATGAATGTTAAGTTCCTTATTGATCTATTGCTTAACATACCTTCTAAATATTATTTAAAGCAACTTACTTGTTTAAAGTTCCTTAACATTAAGCAACATTTCTTAAAATCTTTGGATAGATAACAATACTGATTTCTCCTGACTTTGTTGTGAGGTGTGTAATGTTTTTATCTATTGCAGGGGGGATCCCTAAAGGGAGGTAAATCCTCCAAAGGGAAAAAGAAGAGAGAGAGTTTGGATGGGAAAGATGGACGAAGAAGAAAAAATGCTTCTGATATTGGTTGTGACCATGCTACAAAGAAGCTAAAGGAGAGGGGCGAAGTAGATTCTAATGGAAATGATGGTGGCGAGGCAAATAAAGGAGCATGGAAGGGAAGCGGTGACATGACTCTGGATCCAAAGACCAAGCAACCTCCCCCATTTGTTTCTCCAGTTAATCGAAGTATTCGCTTTGCCACATACACGAAGGAGAATGGACGAACTCTTGTGGTCCAAGATGAACCAGTAGGTGGTGACACTCATGCAAACTTCACTTCCTTTCCTCCAGCTTCTACACAAGCCCTTTTGAGTGGAGCTGGAAATGAAGAGGTGACAAAATCCTTAGAACAGAGCAGTCAAGATCTAGCGGCAGCTCCTACAGTAATTACAACAACTGGGACAACGCCAGCTACTGTACAGGTCTCGGATACTGACCTGTCGGCAATTTCTGGTCAAGAAAAGCAGAAAACAGGCCATTCACAGATCCAGGCAGAGGTAAGTTGTTTATTGCCAGTTTGACAAATACCTAGCATTGTAAAGCTGATGCCAGTATGTAAAATGCTAAGACTTTTTGGGAATTGCTAGGATTGTATATCAGACGACGTCAAAGGATACGTTATAAACTGATATATTACACACATACACACACACACACACACACATACACAATAGTTTTGTATAACTTTGTTCAATTTTGATGGGGTCACAAAGAGATGAAGGGGAATGTATAATAGGATTTTGGGACAGGGTTGGTTGTTGTTGTTTTTGGTAGAATTGCAACAGTAAGTATTCTGTAAAGAAGGCTAACAGAATGTGAATAGAAAGTAAGAGCAACTATACAAGTGAATTCTTCTCTTGCCTCATTAGAAAAAAGATACTAATTTGCACAATAAATGAAACTGGAACTCAGAAGTCTCCAGTTTAGTGTACATTGATTGTCTTAGTAAAAAGTGTTTTTTTTTTAAAGCAAGTTATATAATTATTTTGAGAAGATGATTTATTTATTGACGGTTTTTTTTACGATGTGGAGCAAGCAGGGAACTGGATCTGGGTTAGAAATGGGATTCAAAATCATGGTGTTCTGTTTTCCTTTTGCACAGAGAAAAATTCTATGTGCAGGAGAACATACTCAGTTATTGCTCCTAGTCTTGCCCTTCCCTGCCTTACATAAAGGCAGTCCAGGATGGATGTCCTTTATTCTTTTCCTGAACATACGGCAGATCCTGAAGTAATTTTTCCGGTATTTGTCTTCCGCCATCAGATAAGTTATTGAAGAAGACAGAGGCAACTTTATAAACTCACTGATTTCATTCACATCTTCTATTCACTTCATGGAGGAAATACAAAGTTCAGGCAAAGCAGAACAAATTTCGATGGTATTTTTGAAAGAATGTCAGCAAGATCCATCTCTGCCAGTTCCATCCCCCCCCCCCCCCCCGGCCTTTGAAAGATTAAAAAATGTAACAGGGTTGCAAAAGAGGGAGGGACTTGGCGGGGAAGAAGAGAAGAGACCAGGTGGACAAAACTGGTAGACCAGATGCTTACTTCCCCTGTTTAAGGAAACAAGTTACTATTTCAGAATAACTGCTAAAATGCACCAATTAACAATTTAAGTGTTTCAGAAATGGAAGTAAAAATCTGGAATAATACATTCCTTTTTAGAAAAGAATTACAAAATCAGCTTTGTGAAAACAACTTACCTGTGTATATAGATTTAGTGATTTGTCATTCAGAATTAATTTTGGCAGCCTGCCCCCCCTCTCTCTCTCTGTATCTATCTGTCTGTCTGTCTACCTACCTACCTACCTACCTACCTACCTACCTACCTACCTATCTATCTATCTATATCATCTATCTGCATAATATATACATTTTGATATGGAATATATTGTTAAGACCTGCTAGGCCAGTATATTGGGGAAATTGTTGGGTATGGTGAAATTTGNTTCCCATCAAAGGTGGTTCCTATTTTTCTACTTGCATTTTTATATGCTTTCGAACTGCTAGGTTGGCAGAAGCTGGGACAAGTAACAGGAGCTCACTCCATTACGCAGCATGAGGGATTCGAACTGCTGAACTGCCGACCTTTCTGATCGACAAGCTCAGCGTCTTAGCCACTGAGTCCTCACTGATCTATAAACCAATTTCGTTGTATAAATGATGTACAATGACAATAAAGGCTATACTATACTAGCAGTCTCCTCAGCCTTAGTAGCAAAATATATTCCAGAAGATAAGAGTATATTTTGCTACTAACAGGAATATACTTTGCTACAATACTCCAAAAGATAGTGTAAGATATGGAAGGATCTTGACAGACTTTAACACTGGATCCTATCTAACAAAATGAAATCCAATGTGGAGAAAAGATTTTACACTTAGGCAAGAAAAACAAAACGCACAAGTATAGAATAGGTAGTACCTGACTCAACAGTAGTAACTGTGAGAGGGATCTTGGAGTCCTAGTGGCCAATCACATAAATATGAGCCAGCAATATGCTGCAACTGTCAAACTTGGCTGCATTAGTTTACATATTTGATAAAGCTTATTAATTATGTAATCATACAGAATCTATTCTATTCAATTGAATTACGCAGTAATTTAATTTGTGCAGGCCACCCAAAAACCAAGTGCTGTCCAGGACAGCACTTGGTTTTTGGGTGGCCTGCACAAATTAAATTACTGCGTAATTCAATTGAATGTAGACTGAAACAAACCAAAGCTTTGATGGCTGCATTAAGAGAGGGATAGAATCAAGATCACATGAAGTGTTAATACCACTTTACAATTCCTTGGTAAAGCCACACTTGGAATACTGCATTCAGTTTTGGTCACCAAGATATAAAAAGATGTTGAGATGATGTTATAAAAAGATGTTGAGACTCTAGAAAGAGTGCAGAGAAGAGCAACAAAAATGATTAGGGGACTGGAAGCTAAAACATATGAAGAACGGTTGCAGGAATTGGGTATGTTCTTGTCTAGTGAAAAGAAGGAAATGGGGTAACATGGTAGCAGTGTTCCAATATTTAAGAAGTTGCCACAAAGAAGAGGGAGTCAATCTATTCTCCAAAGCACCTGAAGGCAGGACAAGAAGCAATGGATGGAAATTAATCAAAAAGAGAACCAATCTAGAACTAAGGAGAAATTTCCTGACAGTTAGAATAATTAANCAGGCCACACCTACAGAAGAGGTTCTAAAAAATTTTGAAACCCACCACTGTCTCAGCAATACATGTGTGCAGCTTGTACGAGCAATTTTAGTTGACAGGTATCTAAACAATTCCTCACAGCAGCCCTTCAAATATTCTTTGGCTGATTCCCTCCCAAGGAGTTACCTTAAGCAGTGGCACGGCATGGTAATTTTGCAAAATGCAACAAAAGTGGGAAAATATCACCGTTTTGCTTATAGGATTAGGCTCATCCATATTCAGTGGATTTGTTCTTTGTTTCCATTCCATAGCTTTCTAGGCTTCTCTTCTGCTGCATCATCTCCAAAAGTTACTTTGATAACTAGGACTTTCTATTTTTTAAAAAAGAATTTATAAATAATTGATCGATTTTGCTAATTTTGAATGATACCATAAAGAAAGCTTGGATTTCATTTTCTGTTGAAGAGCAACTGATACCTGCAAATTTGTTTCAGGCTAATATTTACTAGGAAGGGGATATTGCGAGTGGAAGGATTCTTAAGTCCCCAGCAAAGTGATTGTGATGCTATGAGCTTGTGGATCCCGTCAGCATCACCTGCAGAAGGGATTGATTTGGAGACCTCCAAATATATCCTGGCCAATGTTGGTGATCAGTTTTGTCAGCTAGTAATGTCTGAGAAAGAAGCAATGATGATGGTAGAACCACACCGTAAGTTCCTCTTTTCTTTTTTAACCTGCCTGCAAAATGTATAGAAATGGGAATAATCAAAAGAAAAAAATATATTCAAGTCATTATTAATGATTTGCCTTTTTTTCTGCAAATTTTGTCCTCGTGGAGTTTGAAGAGGGGCTGCCTCTTTTTCCCAAATGATTTTGTTTGATGTGTGAAAACAGGATTTTATGCATTGCTTTTCATATGTTTTCTATTGAAGCTGGGTTAATATATGGTTCTATGGAACTAGATAGGCATAATTTCCTTTATTTGCCTTGCATGGTGCCTTCTAGATGTGTTGGACTTCAAGAGTTTGTTCCCAATGTAAATCCGCTTCAAAATGTGAAACTGGTTTTCCTGAATCCAGTATATAGAAATGCACCAGGATATTTATGCGAGCAGAAGAAGTCTGGCCAGGAGGACCCTTTTTATAAGTTCCTCTGATGTAGCAGTTGAACCTATTCCTGGATTGGGAGGTCCTTCAGATAGTCACTCATGGCTTAGTCACCTCAACATTGCTACATTGTACCATCGGGTATCTAACTCGCAGCCCATGGGCCGGATGCATTACACGCTGGCCACTCCTACCCTCAGTTTAGCGAAGGGGGGGGGAGTTGCAATATGTCAGGTGACGTCACGAGTTTGACACCCATGCTGTAGATGAAGCTGTTCTTAAAGACCATTTGGAAACTACAGCTGATCCTGAACACAGTGGCAAAAGCAGATATGTCATGTTACGCTCATCCCCCACTGCTTTGTGAGCTACACTAGTTATCAGTTGGCTTCCAGATGTAATTCAAGGTGCTATGCCCTTCATAATTAGAGCCTGGATAGTTGAGTGACTGCTTGTTTCCAATTATGTCTTCCCTTCTATGAAGTTGGGCAGAATGGATGTGTCCTAGGTCCTGTAGGAGAAACGGTATCACCTTGCAAGACCTAGGAAGTATGTCTTCTTGGTTGCCATGCCTGCTCTCCTGAATGATATTCTCCCCAGGGATTCATATAGTTGTCACCTTAATGATATGCAGCCTTGGGATAGGTTGTTGGCAGTTTTCTAGCCAATTGCTATTTTTCCTATATGTGATTGTTTTTCATTTCTAAACTTGCAGAGGAGTTGAACAGCCTCAAAATTGAATTAAATAAATTATAATAAACTTTTTGGGAGGTATTTTCTAAAATACTCCACATTTTTGAAATTGCTGCTATGAATAATTGGCCATCCTTTAATTGTTGGTTTTCTTCCTTGTAGAGAAAGTGGCCTGGAAGAGAGCTGTACGCGGTGTGAGAGAGATGTGTGATGTATGTGAAACAACCTTGTTCAATATTCACTGGGTATGTCGCAAATGTGGCTTTGGGGTTTGTTTGGACTGTTACCGTCTGAGAAAAAGCCGTCCACGTAGTGGTGAGTATTTAGAAACTGTCCAGGAATAAATATTGTAAAACCTAGCAAGTTGTCCTTTGAGGAGATCAATTTATGATATGAGGAGTGATGGATCTCTGAGTATTTTGTACAGATCATGAAGAGTTTCTAACTTCCATTTAGCAGCAGAAGGAACAAGAGACTTCTTTTGTCATTTTGATGTTAAGCTGTGAAGATGGAAGGAAAGAGATTCAGTTTAGAAGTACACTATATTGCCAAAAGTATTTGCTCATCCATCCACATAATCAGAAGCAGTTGTGAGTGAATACTTTTGGCAATATAGTGTATACGTGAACTCGTCTAGAAAACAATACCTTAAGCTTCAGTGATGAACACTCATTTGTTAATTCAGAAAATGCAGGGAGAGCTTGACTTACGACCACAATTGAGGCCAAAATTTCTGTTGCTAAACAAGACAGTGGTTTACTGAGTTTTGTCCCATTTCATGACCTTCCTTTACAACAGTTGTTAAGTAAATCCCTGCAATTGTTACATTAGTAACATAGTTGTTAAATGAATCTAGTATCTCCATTGACTTTGCTTGTCAGAAGGTTGCAAAAATCGTCACCTGACCCCAGGACATTGTAGCCGTCATAAATGCGTGCTAGTTGCCAAGTATCCAAATTTTGATGATGCAACTATGGAGGATGCTGCAAAAATCATTAGTCACTTTTTTTCATTGTAACTTTGAATGAAAACTAAATGAACAGTCAAGGACTATCTGTATATTATATGCAAAGTGATATTATTTCTGTTTACATAATGTGAAAAATTAGAATGAAGATATACAGATTTTCATTACTGAGATTAAGTAGGCTACCTTGGGGATATTTGATTTTATTTTGTGATGAGGAAATAGGTTGGGAGGTTGATTCTAAGCTTAGGTTTTAGTCTTATAAACCTGTTATATTGGTATTGACCAGCAGGATATTAAACATTATAAATAATTATGCTCTAAGTGCACTTAGCACCATTGCAGATTAGTACAAATTTTCTTACTATAAAACTATTGCCCCCTAAAATCAAAGAGTGGCTCTCTTGAAAAATTATTAACATACAGTACTTTGAAGCTACCAAAGCATAACATTTGGAAAAACTGGGTTGTTCTTTTTCCTTATTCCAGAAACAGAGGAGATGGGTGATGAAGAGGTTTTCTCATGGCTGAAGTGTGCAAAAGGGCAGTCGCATGAACCAGAGAATCTCATGCCAACACAAATCATTCCTGGCACAGGTAAAACTTTAACCATTAATGTTTTTCCATATCCCTTTTGTTTCTTTTACTCTGATCTGAATATATTCTAGTTTTTTCTTTTTAATTTCACCTCTAAAGCAGCTTAAAGGGGGAGTTTTATAGAGATATACTACAATAAAGAAATACATTATTCCACCAGAGAGAACTTTAGCCTTAGAATGAGTTATGTGTTAATTTTTGAACTATCTGAAGATAGACTTCCTGTTGTTGTTTTTTTTTAAAAACCCTTCACTACTTGGGCCTATTTTGAACATAAATATTTATGCTTTTCAAGGCTTCCAGATTTTCCTACACAGTATAACCTATCATGTTTTAACTTTCTAGCATTATATAATATTGGAGACATGGTTCATGCAGCACGTGGCAAATGGGGAATTAAAGCTAACTGTCCATGTATTAATCGGCAGAACAAATCTGTGTTGCGACCTGCTGTCACAAATGGGATTTCACAGGTATGGGAATTTTTAATTTGACAATAATTAGGACTTTCCTTAAAAGCATCCCAATGTGCATTACGCATAGTGGGATGAAGTGGGATAAAGTTAGCATCTCCATAGCAAGATATAGAGTAAATAAATACCCTGTACTAATTGGATCTTATTATCTTTTGTAACTTTTTAGATCTCTCACAATGTAGTTGCTGGGAAGATACACATATTTTACATGTTTAATCTATTCTGAATGACATATGGCAAAAGAAGTACAAAACTCTTTAAATTTTAAAATGATAATCTTCTGTCTGGTCACCTTATCCAATGTTTAGTTACAATAATTATATCCTTACCTCTTTAAAAAAAACATAACGAAGTCCACTAAAGCTACAATAAAATATGTATATAATATGGTGGACCTAATAATAAGCAATTAGAAGCTACTTTTTTCATCATTATTGCATTATATCTATTAAAGAGGTACTCAATCACAAATCATACAATAATGAAAGTGTATATATTCCACTAAAAATCCAACTGGACTCATGCATTTAACAAGATCTTAGAATGTATACAGTTTTACAGCAGTCAGAGAGCAGATTTCCTGCTGCTTTCCACATCAGTGATTAGGAGAGATTCCGCTCTGTGTCAAACATTACTTCCAAACCAAGTCTGTGGCTTTTTTCAATTAATGTCTGTTTTTCAAAATGGAAGAGTTTTAGAAGTTGCAACACCTATACATTAGGCATCTATTCTGATAAGTACTGATTTCCCACATTTTATGGTAATATCTCATTGTCTGATTTTAGATCCTTTTAACTGGAGGTTTAGTGAAAACTACTTGTGTGTGTGTGGTGTGTGTGTGTGTGTGTGTGTGTGTGTGTNCTACCTACCTACCTACCTACCTACCTACCTACCTATCTATCTATCTATATCATCTATCTGCATAATATATACATTTTGATATGGAATATATTGTTAAGACCTGCTAGGCCAGTATATTGGGGAAATTGTTGGGTATGGTGAAATTTGGATTTTGTAGGGTGAACATAACTAGCTGCCTAACTGTTTCATTTCAGAATACCCAAAATTCAGCATCGGCTTCTGCAGGATTTGGAATGACGCAGTCGTCTGCAACCCAGCCTTTAGTATTTGATGATGGGCAAAGCCAATCCAATGGCGTATTAGCTTCAGAGAAGGCACCTGTTGGATTTTCCTTTGGTAGTAACACTGGTCATGAAGTCCAGCAAGATACAGATCCATCAAAGAACTTGTTTTTTCAGTGCATGTCCCAGAATCTTCCCTCCAGTAACTATTTCACAAATTTGTCAGAAAATCTAACTGAAGAATCCCCAAATCAGGACTCGTTAAAAAAAAGTCCAGAGAACCTGAGTTTGGGGATCTGCAAAAGTAAAGGCCCCACTGGAGAAATTAATCCTGGAACTCCGTTGGGCACTCCTCCAGAACGGAAGCTACCGCTGGAATCCATGCCTACTCTTACTCCGGCTTTCCCACGAAACCTCATCAGCACACGAACTCCTGATAATCATGAAAATCTCTTTTTACAACCTCCCAAATTGTCACGAGAAGAGCCCTCCAACCCTTTTCTGGCATTTGCAGAAAAATCAGAACTTAGCCCTTTCAGTAGCTTTGCATCTTCAGCTCAGCAGTCAGGAGCTTCTGCTTCTCCCTCTTCAGGCCTTGGCTCCAAGATTGCTTCTGGCTGGCCAGATTTGCACACCTCAACTGACTCTTCAGCAAAAAAGAAAAGCTTGTTTATAATGACAGATTCCTCCAAGACGCTGCCCAGCGTGCCTAGTGCAACTCTCTTTGCTGGTGTTCAGAGTTCATCTACTCTGGGGAATGGCCGTTCTAGTTCGCCAGTTGGCAGTCTGACACAACCTATTGAAATGCCCACACTCTCCTCTAGTCCAACAGAAGAAAAGCCATCTGTTGGGCCTGGGCAACAGGACAATCCTTTAATGAAAACTTTTTCTAATGTGTTTGGCAGACATCCCTGTGGCTTTTTCTCTCCACAGGCCGAGATAGGACTGGAAAGCAAACCCCCCTTTGAATCTGTAAAAAGGTTTTCTCTAGATGAGCGGAGCATGCCATCTAAACAGGATTCTGATTCTAGCACCAATAGTGACCTCTCGGATATGAGTGATTCTGAGGAGCAACTGCATACCAAAGCTTGTCTGAAGGGAATCCCAGAGCATTTGATTGGCAAACTGGGTCCCAATGACGAGCGGAATGCTGAACTACTCATGGGCAAGGGGAAGGGGAAACAAGCCCCTAAGGGCAGGCCTCGCACAGCTCCCCTGAAAGGTGATGATGTTTTTTTAAAAAGGCAGAGTCTGGTAATTTGGGGAGGACAGCTGATGGGTTACTTACCGTATATTTCGGAGTATAAGACGCACATTTTCCCCTCAAAAAAAAAAAAAGCTGAAAATCTAAGTGTGTCTTATACACTGAATACAGCATTTTTTGCCTCCCAAAACCTGCCCCTTCCTCAAAATAGCCATGCAGAGTCTCTAGGAAGCTTTTAGAAAGCTCCTGGGAGCTGGGGAGGGCAGAAATGAGCAAAAAACTGCCCGTTTTTTGTTCAATTTTACCCAGCCCCCAAGAGCTCTCTAAAAACTTCCTAAAGGCTATCCATGCCTCCCCCCCTTTTTAATGAAAAACGGGCCATTTTCTGCTTGGTTTTTGGTCCTCCACTCCCCCAGAAGCACTCTGCATAACCCTAAAGGCTATTCATGCCTTTTGGGGGGGGGAAGGGCCATTTTTGGGAGGTTTGCAGAGTGCAAAAACTTTTTATTTGCCTCTTCAAAACCGTGGTGTGTTTTATACTTCGGTGCGTCTTATACTCCAAAAAAATACAGTAGTTGAGTATTTATATACCTGCTATACTGTCAATCTCATGATACATAACAGGATTTATGTGAATCGTAATTGTTTTAGGTTGTTTTGCAAGCTTTTTCAGTGAAGTGCAGAGTACCTTTGTATGTGTGGTATGTATGTCTCTGTGTGTGTATGCGTGTGTGTGTGTGTAAACTCACAAGACAGTAAAACTGGCAATTCTAAAAGCGTTGTAAGATGTCAGGAAAAATAAGTTGTACAGTGGTAGAAACTCGGCCCTAGAGTTTAGAATTCCATCTAAAATAGATGGTATTCTAGAGAAGAAATGTGACTTGGCCTTCATTTCAGATTCATGATATCATGGTAAATCCTTTTTAGAGATTCAAAATAAAACAAGAATGCTTTTGTTGTTATAGATTTTATATTGGGTTTGATTTAAAAAGAATTTGAATATCAAAACAAAATACTGGGGAATTAGAGGGCAGCATTACTTAGGTACTAGAAAGAATGGTTGGAGAATTAACATAAAAAGAAAAATTAATAAACCAGAGAGGTATTTTGTATAATCACAAAAATCTCTAGCTCTTTGTAATAGTCTATAAATTATACTAGGAAATGGCTAACACCAGCATTTCTCCAAGTAAGGCAATATATCTTACAGCATTTATCCTTACTGAACATGTTTATTTTAACAAGCAAACATATACCATGTCCATTGACATGCTCAGTCATCCAGGTCTTGGTTGTGCCAAAGGTGCTTTTTTCAGGAGGCAACTGGACTTTCTGGTTTTTCTTTGAAGACGTTTTGCTTCTCATCCAAGAAGCTGCTTCAGCTCTCATCCAAGAAGCTTCTTCTCAGAGCTGAAGACACTTCTTGGATGAGAAGCGAAACATCTTCAAAGAAAAAACAGAAAATCCAGTTGCCTCCTGAAAAAGTACCTTTGGGATATACCAAGTCCCTGAGATCCTTACATCACATTTGGGTGTTGAAAGCATTCATTTAAATTATTCTCATTTCCAACCTCCAAAAAGTGAAGAAATCTAATTACAGGGAAAACATAGGTACAAGCTAAATAGGAAGTTAGAAATGACTGCTAAAAAAATGAATTTTAAGTATATGGTGGCTCATATCTGATACACCTAAGTCCTTATAACCTCTGTGATAGCTATAGTGTGAAATATATTGATTGTCATTTATATTTCATTTAGTTCGAACAAAGGGCAAGTACAGTGGGAAAGTAGGGTTATACTACCATTTTTTGCCTAAATATTAAACTTGTGCACTGATTGTATTGTTCAAAAATTGGATAAGGCCTATTGCCTTATCAGCTTTCAGCAAGTAGAATCCTGCTTCTATCTAATAACAGCTCTGCCTAAGTAAACATGCATTTTACAGATTAAGTAAATACTTTTTGAGATTGGCAAACATGCTGTTTTGTAACCTGCTTGTAATAGATGCTTTGCTTTGTAGTTGGTCAGTCTGTACTGAAAGACATGAGTAAGGTGAGAAAGCTGAAGCAATCAGGGGAGCCCTTCCTCCAGGATGGCTCGTGCATCAATGTGGCTCCTCATCTGCACAAGTGCCGAGAATGCCGGTTGGAACGCTACCGAAAGTTCAAGGAACAGGAACAGGATGACTCTACAGTAGCCTGTCGGTTCTTTCACTTCCGCAGGTGATAAAGCTCTCTTGAGTTATTTGTACTCTCTCCTTTCTTTGTTAGCATGATCATTCGGCAAGTAAGTACAGTAAGTAAGATATCTCTTGATTTCACTTAGCTTCCGTAGTTCTCTATAGTTCCAGAGAAATGCTACATGCATGGCTCAGACCAGTGCAACAGAATAATAATGAATATTAAAACTGTAGAAATATCTGACTGGTATGGAAAACATCTGACTGGAGTTTCTTAACACTGTTGCCTCCATGAGAAATCTTGTAGAGAGTTTTGCATTTGTTCTGAGGATTCTGTCCAGTTTCTGGACACCAGCAGGCTCAAACTCTTCCTAAATAACAATATAACTCATTGTCTTAGTCATCTCAGCACAGGGGTGGGTTCCTGCCAATTCTAACCTATAGAAGAGGTTCCATAAATCTACCGTGCTGTTTAGAACCGTTTCCAGCTCCTTCCCCCCGTCCATCCGCACCACGCTTGCCTTGCCCGCCACTCACTGATTGGCTGGCTCACCAATCGCCCCGCCCGCCTTTAAGAGTCCTATCTAAACCTTAAAATCTTAAAGCTGTCAAGTTTGAACATCCCTGGGTTTTTTTTTCTAAAGGTTTAGGGGTGCAAGGGTCTTGTAACTTGACAGCTTTAAGACTTGCAAACTTCAGTGCCAGAGTTCCTGAGCCAACATTACTGGAGGAGGAATTCTGGGAGTTGAAGTCCACAAGTCTTAAAGCTGTCAAGTTTGAACACTCCTGGGGTTTTTTTTCTAAAGGATTAGGGGCGCAAGGGTCTTGTAACTTGACAGCTTTAAGACTTGCGTGCTTCAAATGCCAGAGTTTCTGAGCCAACATTTTGGTT